CCAACGTTAGGAAAAAAGACAGCCGGAGCCAACGTTAGGAAAAAAATAAACACCTCCGCCCGGTTTTCTATCTCATGCGAAACTCACTGTGTTTGGACCGTCGCTGTGCTGTCCCGACATAGGTTGGAGCATGGAGCTTCAGCGCCATTGTCCAGAGGAGCCCACAGAGCAGAAGCTGCAAATTTTACCCCAAACAGGGAACCCAAAGAATATAGTAGGAATGTGATAGAATATAAGGCCCCGGGTAGGTATGTTACTATTATATTCCTACTATATGCCATGAAAGAGGCCCTGATTTGGATCTAAACGTGAAATGTGTCGGGCAGGACTGGAACGAGTGCATCAATTTGTTAATGCAGTGCCTCTTCGATGAGCAGCAAAAAGATCAATGAACCACAAGCTTTGAGGAGTTTCACTAGCCATGTACAGATTTGGAGAATTAGTTTAGCGCCTCGAATGCGCTAAGGAGGCACGAGTCTCTCCAACAGCGAGAATGGGGTCTTGTTTCCAGTAAGCAGGGGTAGGTGTTGCAGACAAGTGCAGCACGGGTCTTGCTTGAAGTTTAGCGATGGCGCCTAAGACGTCAGAATTGAAAGTTATGATTAAGCCAGCTGTCTCTTGTGGGTCCGCCCACTGCTTGCAGTCCATGGAGAAAAGAGAGATCCAGTGGAAGCCTCGCTTCGCATGACTTCCTAGAAGAGTGCGAAAGCACAGCTGCTTTGCTGCATGCACATGTGCAGGTTCAAAGTGAGGGCGCCCAGGAGCCCAGATAAGAACCTTTGGTCATGCTGTCCTTCTGTTGTACGCTTGCCAGAGTGCATTGTCTCTAATCCCGAGCAACTAGAAATGCTGACGGCAAGTGGGTGCAGATTCTCTGAACAATAGCTTCTGTTATCCAGTGCCCATTTGCTAAGGGCCCAGAGCCCGGGCCTAGAAAAAGATGCTTTCTTTTTGGGTAGATATGGAACCAAAAGCTTGGATCAGCGTTTGAGGGGGCGTCGAACTTGTGATCTGTTTGGCTTTTGCGTATCGGGTACGCAGATAAGGGCTTGGCGTCTACATCCAACGTCTTTTGGAGGATGTGCTACTGCAGTTGTTATTGGAGGATTCTTTTGTACATTGACGTGAAGGGTAGCAATGTGACCCTTGCAATGCTGGCTTCGGCCTCGAGAACATTGGGGTGCGGGTCTCCAACTTGCAGGACCCTGCTTGAGGGCAAATGCTTACTGTTGGGTTGATGCACCAGAGGTTTAGGAATGGAAAGAAACTGTAGCCTACTGCATGATTTGGGGATTAGGTTTTGGGGGTGAGGGTTTGGATTTAGACTTAGAGTTTAGGGTGGGAGTTCAGCATCTCAAGCCCAAGCATTTGTTCAATGAACGGCTGTCCAAGTTAACAGAAAAATACCCACCCGTCCAAAAGGTCCCACAACATTAAACTGCTATTTGATATGCTGTATCATACCGTCTACGCTTCTGTCCGGATCCCTTCTGTGTATTTTTCTTGTTGAAGGGTATCTGAAGATTGTTTTTGTGCTTGGACCCCTCTGTTGCTTTGGCTGAAGGGTGTTTGAACATTTTTTTGTTTCATTTTTTGTTGCCAAACCCTCGGTTTTGTTTTCTTCCTAAAGGGTATTTGAAGGGTAAAGGCGGAGAAGTCTAATCGTAAAAGTGGAACATGTAAAGGGTAAAGACCCAGAAGTCAAACCGTAAAGTGCAGAATAATTGCACTAAAGCTGAGAGGTATATCCGTAGAAGTGGGATGATTGGAAGGTAAAGGTGGAGAAGTCTAATCGTAAAAGTGGAGAAGTTGAAGGGTACAAGCTGATAAGTCTAGCCGTGGAAGTGGAAAGATAAAGGGTACAGGCGGAAAAGTCTAAGGGCGAAAGTGGAACATTTGAAGGGTGAAGGTAGATACGTCTGGCCGTAAAAGCGTAAAATGTTACGGGTAAAGACCGAGAAGCCTAGCCGTAAAGCGCAGAATCAGTGGTATCAAGGCTGAGAATACATCCGTAAAAAGTGGTATCATTAGAAGAGTCAAGGTGGAGAAGTCTAAGCGTCAAAGTGGACGATTTCAAGGGCAAAAGCGGGAAGTCTAACCGTAAAAGCGGGCATTTGAATCACCCCCCACTCCCGCAGATCCACTCGAAACTTCAGCAAGCATAAGAGCTCTGGGGTTTAGGTGTGGAGTTTGGGGTTCGGGGTTTAATTTTATCGTGTGGTCTTTGGAGTCAAGGGATCGGGGGTTAAGGCTTTGGATTTGGGGGGTATGGTTGTTATAGGATTGGGGGCTAAGAGTTTAGGGGTAAGGTTAGGGATTGGGGTCAGGTCTCAAGGGATGTCTCCCCACGATTGTGAGCATTCTTTCTCGCGGGTGGGTTTGAAAAAGATATTCTCGACTTCACTTTCTTTTTGACAAGGAGTCAGCCTCATTGTAGTGCATGGCGGGAGTGTATGCAAAGTCAGGCCCATAAAGCGAGCCGCCAAAAGCCCACATGTTCCCATCTTGAGTCATAATTCGTTGGGCCTGCGCCTGCGCCTCGACCACACTTTAATTGAAGACAACACAAAGGTAGCATAGCAGAGCCAATCCCCTCGACACTTCCCCAGAAAACCCTATCAGTACGCACATCCTCCCTGTTTGGCCAACTGGGGGCTGCTTCAACCTCCAGCTGTTGTAAGTGGCAGTTGCAAGCAGCGAACACACATCTGCTTGTGGGACCCATGAAAGCCCGCCAAGACCCTACAGGTTCCTATCTTCCTTCGTGATTTGCAAAAGGGGGTTGCATGCAAATGAAGGTGCAGGACCCCCTCCGGCCCACCGCTTTTGTAAATGCCAAACAGACAGGCCGCACATCCCATCAGATTTCACCTGCACCGTATATGTTTGCATCTGTGGCGATATTTTGGAATCTCCCCCCCCGCTCAGCAATCATCCGCAAAAAGTTTGTGGCATCAACTAGCCTTGGATATTCATATATTGTAGTAGATTCCTCTTGTGCACATTGAGGTACCTGGCCCCCGTCGCTTTTGTTGTAGGAGATAATGCTTGGGACATCCCATCAAGAACCTACCCAAAAACCTAGGCGTTCCAATGTTCATCCATGTTCTCAAGCAAGTCACCATGGCAAACAACTGCACGGTGGCAACAAAAAGGCGAAGAACAGCGTGCCAGGCGCCCACAGGCTAACATGATCATTATTATTACTAACTACTATAGTTAGCAGAAGTACGGTCATGCTTGCTATAGCAGTGCTCACCTTCTCTTTTGGTATGGGGGCCCTCCTCGGATCTACCCTAGGAGCCGCTCGGCCCTTGTCAAGGAGCTTAACTTAAGTTACCATACAGGGTTTAGGGTTTGTAGTTTATGGTATCATAGTATCGGCATATCGCAAATAATAAGGTTTCCTTTTTATAGTAACTAAATTTAAGTTTCTTAAAAGCAACCCGTGTTTTCAGCGCTGAATTCCCTGGATTCATGGGAGACGATGGTAAATTGGGTGACGATAGAAGTAGTACTAATAGTAGTAGTACTACTGGTCGACATTCTAGTAGGAATCTCACTAGTAACACATCGTAAGAAGCAGCAGTGATAACGGAAGATTGGGAGCCTCCAATGGCTCAATGCAGTGTCAAGAGAGCATCGGCAACATAGCCTGGCACTACTTTAACCCTTTAACCCCTTACACCCTGAGCCTTAAGCCCTAAGCCTGTTATTGCATGTGATGTTTGCAGCAGACAATCCGAAAAGGGGTCACCATCATCTTTTTAAAGTCCAGAAAAATCTGTAGCGTCCCGAAGGCCCTCCCTTTGAATTGAAAGTCCCAAGCCCGCGTGCCGGTTTCCTGCATCTTGAAATTGAAGTCCTACAAATTGCCTGTAATTGGTACTGTTTCTTTTTGCAGTGGTTCGCATATGCTTGCAGAATAGCCGCAGAAGAGTTGTCCTTCCAACCATTGAGTCAGGTCCTGCATTAGGGGTGTATTGTTTCATTGGTTGGAAGCGTAGTCCTGGTCTTTAGAAAACCCTAGCCAAGGCTTTCTCACAGCCCAACTGAAGTAGCCGCAGCTGTCCAGGACCGTTGTCGGCTCGGTGACCACATCAGGCAGCAGAAGTTTCTTGCTTGGGGGTATGGCAGAGATTACATGGAGCTTGTTCAGCGGTTCTATGGAGGAGAGAAGTTGGAGCTGTGGGAGCTTCTGCTTGCAAAGCTGTTGGTTCTTGCTATTATCAAGGCCCGCCATGTCTGATCTTTTAGAGAAATGCTTGCGCAAGAGAAGGGCCATCACCTGAAGTGCCTGAGATACAAGGCAATCTCCCCACCTCGGCCTGGTTAAAAAGTTGGATGGCCACCTCTGTGGGTCCCCTGATTCAAGCCTTTTGTATTTGCAATGTGTTGAGAACATTTTGTTGCACTGTGTGCCCTTGTAAGCTCTGCAGTCTTTGGTCTGTCGGGACATATCCTTCGCTACACAATTGGCACATCTCGTGATAGGCGTTCTCGTGAGACTTCCCAAAGCATATCCCTCTTAAGAGAAGCCCTGGCTGGAGTTTAATTTTGGTGTTTAGTGTTGCGGCGCCAGGGTGACATTGTTGGAGTCGGCGCGCGTGTGTGCATCATGAAGTCATAAAGTGCCAGCTTTTGTCCGTACTGCTCCCATGTGATTATTTTGCAAAGTTTGATGACATTGCTGTATCCCAGGATTCGGCATTGCACATGATATCAGATGGTGTTCCCCGCTCTGAGATATTTTCAGGCATGACTCGTGACTGCGCATTGTACCGCCGCAGAATTTCGGAACATGTTTGTTCTGCTTTTTGTAAAGCAGTCCTTCCTGCATCCTGATTGTTTTGGTGCTCATCAGATCATGAATTTCTTTTCAGTTTCTCTCCATTCATTCTCTTCTGAGAGAAAGGCTACGTGTCGTGCTCAGAACCTTTCTCGGCTAATAGCCTTTGATTTAGGGTGTGGCACCGGGGCAGCCAGAGTGAAGCGCCAAATCCTATACTGAGGGAGTTTTTGATTTTCGGATTTGTTTATTGATGAGAGGTCGGTGAGTGTATTGATGGGGTGTCCTTGTGATGGACCAAAGCTGCAGCTCTTCTTCCATGATGCCTAGGCAGGAGTCTTACAGTCCCCTTTACCGTGTGATCGATGGTTGAGTCAAGCCTAAGAATCCTGAGGGTATCCTTGTCTGAGGTACTTCCGGAAGAAATTTTCATGGTGGAGGACATGACATCGGCCGGCGTGGTGCCCGCCTTCGTATCTTTAGAATTGGCTTGATGCTAGCCTGCAACAGTTCTGCTTGTCCAAATTCACGGGAAACCAGATTCTTGCGGGATTGGGCTTCTCGTGCTACCACATTTTGTATAACAAGTTTTGTATACGGTCTTGTAGCCAATGTTCCGAAAAGCGAATGTTCTGTTCCAAGTCCCTGTTCCTGATGTTGAAGTGTTATGATCAGACGTATATCGACTTCCCTGAGTGAATCAAGGACCATTGCGCTTGGTTCAGATGGCCTCCAATCTATGTCGCCCTGAATGCAACGACCAAACAGCTGAGGATGGGGCCGTAGCTATCTCGGTTGCAGCAGAACGCAGTCGCAGCTAATGCTGCCTTTTCTTTAGCTTGCGCTGCATGGTGAAGGTTTCGGGCAGATTGGAACAAAGTAGCAAGCTTTTGCACTGAGCAGGAGTTTCATATTCATTGCTTCTTGTTACTTTTTGCCGATGTGTTGTTTATACGATCCAGGGCCAAACATGCAAGTTCAAAATGCGGCATTTCCCGGCCAAATAACGCAGATCCAGGCAGTTGGAGCTGTCGGAGTTTTTGCTTTGGCAATGCCATGCATGCTGCATGTTCACAATCCTCTGACCTGTGCTAGCGTTTTCTGGCCCCAAGGCCCAAGGACTCGAGTCAGCCTCATTGCTTGATTGCACTACCTAGCTCAGAGCAGTAAAGGTCCCTTACGTGGACTGGATCTTCCAAACGCATTCAACACATGATTGATTATAGGGTTTGTCAAGCTTCAGGGCTGTTTAGGCTTGTCGTTTTTAGCTTCTTTACTTCTTGTTCGGTTTCCTTGCTTGCTCGAATCTGGCTTCTTGGCTGTCTGGCTTTTGTGCTGCGTAATGCTAAAACAGGATATGGCAATTTCATTCACTTTCCAGAATCTCCTGACCCTCCATAATCCTAGGAAAGCCCCCGAACTTGATTGAAATCCTGGAGATTCCTTGCACAATGGCATGGTGACCAGCAAAACAAAAACAGCCAGAAAAGAAACTGCCTTAATCACTATCGGATCCATAGTAAGCAAGTGGACCTTTGCATTACATGTTGCCTTTGAGAAAACCATTGACAAGGTCATCTTGCGGCTAAGTGTCTTTCTTGCTGAGAACCCACTGAGTGAATGGACGCTGTATTGCAGGATTTCGAAAGCTGCAATTTGCCGTGCTTGCTGTTCAAATTCTGTGATGCAGAGTGTCGGCACAAACTTGGAAACGCTGCAATTCACAGAGGTTGCTTGCTGTCTGTGAAAGTGCCAAACGATGCTCCGTGCAACACGTGCTGCAAGGCAGATCTCCAGCTATTGCACGTATTGTAATGACGAGTGTTGGCAGATTTGGAAAAGCTCTGAACGTTTGGTTCGTACAGCGTTCTGCAGAGGGTTGTTCCAGCTGTCAAGCCGGTGGGCAAACCGCACAAATGCCATCGTCCGCTTGTTCAGCTGGGCTTCGTGAATTGCATGGGAGCAAAGCATTGCTTGCTACTTAATGCCGTTTGGCTCCTATCACAGCTTTTTGCCACAGAAGGCAGGTTAAGTGCAAACCACTCCCAGCATACCATCATGACTGCTTCAAACCCTCACGCATTCAGCACGGAGATCCGTACGCAACCAGACAGCAGCACATAATCGTGTAGTTGTGCGAGTTGGTGTCAACGTGGCCCCAGTGTTTCTCGTCCAAACGGGCGAGACCAGATTGCAACCCTGACTCATCTCTCGAGGAACAGATTTGCCTTTGAGGCATTTCCAGCGGCAACATGCCCGCAAATAAGAAGAAACAGGACAAGAAGGCGGACACACCGCCATCCTCCGATGACGAGCCAGAGGAGCAAAGCGATTCTGGTAGCAGTGAGCCTGCGGCAGCGCCCAAGAAGAAGAACCTGTTTGCCATGATGATGGACTCTGACGAAGATGAGTCAGAAGAGGAGGAGTCAGAAGAGGAGGAGCCACCACCACCGCCCAAGAAGCCGGACAAGACGGACAAGGCGGCAAAGCCGGACAAATCAGATAAGCCCGACAAGCCCGACAAGGCTGAAAAGGCGGAAAAGGCTGACAAAGACTCGTCCCCAGAGAAGAAGAAAAAGAAGGAGGAGCCTGTGGATAATGAGCTGGCCATGTTTGGCGAAAAAAAGAAAAAGAAGAAGAGCGCCGAGAAGGAGGAAAAAGATGGCAAGGAAGAGAAAAAGGACAAGAAGGAAAAAAAAGAGAAGAAGGAAGGCAAGGAAAAGAAAAAGCGCAGCCCCACAGTTTGCGAAGTTGTAGAAGTTTCCCCAGTTCCGAAGAAAGACAAGCTAAAGCTATGCAAAGTGGTTGTGGCACCGGGAATAGATCCGATCGAAATCGTCACCAGCGCCCCAAATATCATTGCCAACAAGAAGTACATCGCAGCACCGCCAGGTTACACAACCGCAAATGGCACGAAGGTCGAGGTTTCAAAAGTTGGCGGTATTGAAAGTGCTGGCATGTTCTGTGGCCCGAAAGAAATGGGCTGGGACACAGATGTGCTGGACCCTAACCAAGCTGTCATGCTGGCAGATTCAGCAGAAGCTGGTCAGCCGGCACCTTCGTATGAAGAAGCCGTGGAGGCCTTCAGGGAACGAGAGCGAGAAGAAATTAAGAAGCGCGAGGAAGCAGAAAAGGCAGCAGCGGCCGCAAAAGCTGCTGCAGCAAAAGACGACAAAAAGGGCGGAAAGAAGGACAAGAAGAAGGCCCAGAAGGCAGCGGACGATGAAGACTTTGATGCCGCCTTGGACGAGTTCCAGGAAGAGAAGCCCGAACCCAAAGCAAAGGCAAAGTCCGCCGCAGACAAGAAAAAGGCCCAAAAGAAAGCAGCGGATGAGGACTTTGATGCCGCCTTGGACGAGATCCAAGAAGGCAAGCCTGACGAAAGTGCAACAGGATCAGCCCCAGAACCAAAAGCGAAGGCAGAGGCTAAATCAGCTAGTCAGAAGAAAAAGGACAAGAAGAAGGGCCACAAGGGGGATGCAGATGACGATTTAGATGCCGCCCTTGAGGAGTCTCTGCCTGACAAGCCCGCAGATGCCACGGCTGAGCAGGCTCCGAAAGAGACGCAGGAGGCTGCTGAACCAGCTCAGGGAGACAACAAGGAGGAGGAAGAGCTGGATGCCAAGACTCTTGCAAACAGGAAGAAGAAGGAGAAGAAGGCCAAGGCGAAGGCAAAGCAGAAGACGGGAGGAGAAGGCATGTGGGCATCAGCAGATGCTGAGGAAGAGACCAAGGATGAGGAGCCAAAGAAGGAGGACAAAAAGGAGGAGGAAAAAAAGGATAGCAAAAAGGAGAAGCCTGGCAAAGGCGGAGGCAAAAAGGAGAGCGCAGTTGTGCGGGCTGCTCGCGAGCGTTTGGAGATGGAGCAGCGCCTTCAGGAGGAGAAACGCGCCTTTGAAGAAGCAGAGCGGAAACGGGTTGAGGAGGAGAAGCGGGCCATTGAGGAGGAGGAGCGGCGGCAGGAAGAGGAGCGCCAGAAACGACGAGATGCAAAGGCCGCGAAGATTGCAAAGCAGAAAGCAGAGGGCACCTACCTCACCAAGGCTCAGAAGCTCAAGGCTCAACGTGCTGCACAGTTGCGTGAGCAGTTCGGGTTCACCATGGACAAGGATGAGGACGAGGATGCTGAGAAGGGAGAGAAGGTAGAAAAGGAAGACAAGCAGAAGCGGCCCATGGCTACCAAGCTTAAGAAGAAGAAGCTGGCCCCTGGGGAAGAGGGCTCACCGGAGAAGGTGAAGGAAGAGGAACCCGGAGACAAGGAGGAGAAGGAGGAAGTGAAGCCTGAGAAGAAGCCAGACAAGAAAGAAGATGCGAAGCCGGTTGCGCAGGAAGAAGAAGAGGAGAGCGACGGCTGGGAGAAGCTTGATGAAAAGGAGGAGGAAAAGGACGAGGCCGCCAAGGAAGATGAGGAGGCTGAGGCATCCGAGGATGGGAGCGACGATGAAAGCAGCAGTTCCAGCAGCTCATCTTCTTCGTTCATGGGCTACCGCTCCCCAGTCATATGCATCATGGGGTGCCTGGCTTGCAACTGAACATAAGCAAGTGTCGGAGGCGTAGCATCTTGAGTTTCAGCAGGTGTTGCATGTGCCCGGTTGCAGGAATGTGTGCACAGATGAGTTGTAGTGGAGAGATCGTTGTGCGGCGGCATTACGCCTTTAGACTTTAGACAATCTTCTGAGGCACGTGGACACAGGCAAGACGAAGCTGCTGGACAAGATTCGCCGAACCAACGTGCAAGAAGGTTGGGCTGTCTGTGACATAACGTGGGATTCAGTGATTGACGCATCGGTTGTGCGGGGATGCAGAAGAACCTACCCAACCTGAGCTGCTGAAAATTCAAGGATGCGTGATTGGCACAGGTGAAGCTGGCGGCATCACGCAGCAGATCGGCGCAACTTTCTTCCCTGATATTGCGCTGCAAGAGCAGACCAAGAAGGTGGATGAGGACTTCGAATTGGAGGCTGGTAAGGGGCAGAGGTCATTCCGAAGCGGGCTCCGAAACAGCTTTCATACACGGTCCCTTACTAACACAAAGCAGAGCAAGGCTTGGAAACTAGCAGGGGCACCCCAATTAGGATTGCTGGGCAGCCAAGTCCGATCCCTGTTCTGGTTGGAGGTGCCGGGTCTACTGATCATTGACACACCTGGCCACGACACCTGCCAAAATTATCACTTCCATGTTTGGGGAGCCAGGCCACGACTTTACAGATTCAACCTTCTGATGCAAATGCAGTGGTCTGGCCGCACATCTTTCCAAGAGTTTATCCCAAATCGATCTAAGGAGTCTTTCAACAACCTCCGCATGCGTGGATCCTCGTTGGCTGACCTGGCAATCCTCGTCATCGACATTATGTGTCTTGGCTTTTGGTTGGATTGATTGGATATCATTGCGTCCGAAGCTAGGATATCATCACAACTGGGCCCTGGAAGTAGCAGCTGCCAATTAACCTAGTCAGCCTGAGGACTCAGTCTGCTGTGTGACCAAGGCACGGGCTGGAGCCACAAACCGCAGCTTGGCCGGACTGGCTGTCGCTGTCAGCCCCCCCCGGCTTTTGTTATGTCCATACGGAGTCGCGTGCAATTAGGATGCCCGCCATGGGCGACAGTATCCAACACATGCCAACATGCCCCTTTGTAGGATGGGAGGGTGCCATGTCTGATGCAGATTGAATGCAAGGTTGAGTCGCTCGAGCTGTTGAAGAAGCGCCGCTGTCCGTTCATCATTGCTTTAAACAAGATTGACATCCTCTACCAGTGGAACGCAAAAACATACACAAGTGTACAAGAGGCGTTGGATAGACAAGAGCAATCGGTGCGCATGGAGTTTCAGACGCGCTACAACAACGTGATGCTCCAGTTGAATGAGCGGGGTCTGAACTGCAGCTTGTTTTTTGGCTGCAGTGAGGTTTGGTGATTTTTGGTTGGAGCGCAGAGTTAGCATGGAAGGGGCCTCTGAAGGTACTGGGAGAATGATGACCCACGAACGTCGGTGTCGATCGTTCCAACCAGCGCTCTGACAGGGGAGGGTGTGCCGGACTTGTTGTACATGATCCTCAAGCTCACTCAGGACCTGATGGGCTCCAAGCTGGAGTGCAGGGAGGAGCTCGAGTGCACTGTGATTGAAGTCAAGAACATCGAGGGCTTGGGAACCACTGTCGATGTGGTGCTCCTCAATGGCACCCTCCGTGAAGGGGACACAATCGTCCTTGCTGGCTTGAGTGGGCCTATCGTTACTACCATCCGCGCGTTGCTGACGCCGCAGCCCATGAAAGAGATGAGAGTAAAGATTCTTTGCTTAATTACTTGTGGTCGACCTCTCAGGCGTGGGGTAGAAGCAAGGCCAAGTTGGTGATCTAATCGTCGTGTAGCCAGGCATCGGCGATTGCGTCAACGCACATTCAAATTCGACTGAGGAATGAATACGTCAAGCATGCCGAGATCAGCACATCTATGGGCGTGACTCGGAGTTCTGAAAGTGATCAGTACCGGTAGCTCTCTGGATACTGTGCAAAGACAGTTGCAGCCTCGGCACGACATGGGAGCTCTCAGTCTACAGAGCTAAAACTACACTCAGCGCATGTTGCGGCAAGTTTGTCAGCTTCCGATCCCAGCTACCATTAAGCGTCGCTGCTAAGAAGTTGCCGTTACAAGGCAGTGAACTTCAGGCTGCATAAGAGCGAAACAGTCATATTTGTGTGCATGTCCTACAAACTTTTCGTTCATTACTAGGGATTTCGATCTTTGTGCACCAACATAACACTGTGGAACGTTGGCCTGGTGTGACAACCAGACAGGCACTGACAGGCGTTGAATATCACTCAAGGTTTTTGAGCATTCGTAATTTGAATGGTTGTCATCATTTCAGCTTAATGCCGTGCATGATGATGATGACGATGATCATGACGACGACGACGACGACGAGGATGATGATGATGATGATGATGATGGTAAGTGCCACGAGTGCCCAAATTCCTGTAGCAGACCGCAGTAGCTTTGCTCCGTCTAGGGGCAGATCCTTGCAGCCATTACGCCATTCATCCACTGCCGAGTGAAGATTCTTGAGCTAACCACTGAGCGTCTCTGGTTGGAGTGCAATTCAGCTAATCAGCGACAGTACGGTTTGCAGCTTGCTTATGCCTTACTGGACTGCACGACAGCTGAACAGCTATTCGAGTCAGCACGGGGCTTTCTTCCATTGGAGGACTACCTCGCCGCCTTGGCGTTTTGCAACTCGCACTATCCTCTACTGTATCAGTGCCTTTCTGTTTCCTGGTCTGGAGAACTTGGCAGCTGGAGTAGGCAGCCATGAGTGGGCTGCATCGCTTCTTTGGTCTAGCTACAACACCGACAACGGGGCTCAGACACGAGTCGAGGTTTCCAATACTCTCTACGACTCCCACTGGTGTACATGCATCGAGCTCCACAACGTCCCGGTGCCAAGTCCGGGGACGGACGCAACAGGATCCATCAGACAACGCGCAAAAGTCCGTCGGCACGAGGGTAGGCCGTGCTTCCTTGGGCCGGCCTGAAGCCCCAATCGGGGTGAACGACAAGGAGTACATGGTCTCACCAGCTCATGGCAGCATTTACAAGCGTTCACTGCAAAAGGCCATCCGCCAAGCAGCTGTTACTGGCTCCTCAACGTACAGGGGGAAAAAGATGTTCACGAACGTGAATCTGAAGCTTCCCAAAGGAGTCCGACAATCTGAGGCAGGTGGTCAACGCGTTCATGTTTTTAGTTGGAACTGCAGTGGGCTTTCCCAGGAAGTGATGGCTGAGTTAATGCTGTGGCTGCAACATCACTCACACATACAGTTAGTTTTCCTGCAAGAGACACACTGGGGACAGTCCATGGAATGGAGTAAGAATGGGTGGCACTTTGTGCACTCGGCCTCAGGCAAGCCGAATTCAGCGGGAGTCTTGACAGGCATTCGCGAATCTTTCGCGACGGCAGACACTATTAGCTGGCACGAGGCGATTCCTGGACGCCTTTTACAGGTCCGTTGTTTCTCGGGCACGCAACATTTGGACTTGGTCAACTGCTATCAGCATGCCATGGCATATGGAACTAATGAGAAGCTTGAGGCCCTGTATGGCAAGCGCCGGGGCTTCTGGAAGGCCCTCTCCAAACTGCTATGCTCTTTTCCCTTTAGGTCACAGATGATCATGGGCGGCGATTTCAACTGCAGTCTCGAGACAGAGAGTCGAATTGCGGGCTTTGGAGTCATTCAGGGAAGTCAGGTCAAGCAAGCCAGGCAAGATCGTGACTTGTTCATGGATGTCCTCCGGAACTGTACACTTTCTGCGCTTAACACTTGGCCAAAGAAGCGCTCCACCTACACGCATCCAAGGGGTTCATCTCAGATTGACTTTATCCTTGTCCGGCAGCAGTCTGCAGATGCAGGGGCAAAAAGGGCTCAGCCAACACAAACGGTTCTGGCGGGATGGCGTTCCTCGGGCCATAGCCCACTGCAGGCGAGTGTTCCCTTGATATGGCAGCCGTGGAGGGGCCCAGCAAAAACAGTGCCAGTCACTCCCGACGCTGTGCACGGACAGCTTGGCTTCTGCATGGAAAATGGAGTGCGACAGATGTATCAGCAAATGCTGGCGACTCAGACAGCTCGCGCTAGAGCGGCTCTTCCTGCACTTGAGGGCAGCGATGGGAACATTTTGTCGCTTTGGGCTCTCAGGAAACGCCTAATGTGCTGTTCGCCTTGTGGTGTGGGTGGTTTCTTCAGGGCTTTCCGAGAGGTGACTAGGTTTCTAAGGGCCAAAAGGGAACTTCGGAAGACCATTCGCAGCAAGAAACGACAACAGCTCCTGGACTCGCTTCAGTTGGTTGAGGATGCGGCAAACCGCGTGACGACCACGGGCATGTACGAGTACGTGAAGCTGCTCTGTCCGAAGACCAGAAGACAGCGCATCAGGCTTAGGAGTGAAGATGGGTCTTTGGTGACCAAACAACAGGAGTGCGAGATGCTGGCAGAGCATGCTGGGGGGCTTTGGAAGTCCAAACGGCCGCAGCCGGAGCTTCCTCCTTTATTGCCCATTGCGGGGGAGATTCTTGGAGCTGAAGCCTGGGCCTCAGCCATCAAGAAAATCCCTAGCGTCAAAGCTGTGCCGATGTTCACACCCCTAGTTACCACCTGGAAGCAGAGCTTGCGTGCCGTAAGTGAGCAGCTTGCTAATATCTCCTGGTGCTCGCTAAGCAGTAGTCACCCCTTCATCCTGAAGGAGTGGACCTCGGTGCAAATTGCCTGGCTCCCTAAGCCTGGGAAGTCACCATCTCAGCCTGCTCACCTGCGCTCTATAGGTCTTATGTCTGTTGACCAGAAATCGCTGCTTCACATAATCAAGGGCCACCTCAAACCACATATGTTCTTGGGCATTTGCATGATTGTCCCCAGTATGCTTACAGGAGTTGTGTCAGTACTGTGGATGCCATTTTACGCGCGAGCTCTCACTGTGCAGCTGTTCGGGGTATGCTTGAGACTTATTCTTCCGACCTCACCTCCAAAATAGCTGGATCGCACAAGCGAGATCTGATCGGAGGCGTAATGGCAAGCGTTGATCTGGCGAAGGCCTTCGACACGTTGCCTCACTCAGAGATGTACATCTCCCTCCAGGAAGCTGGCGTCCCAGAGTCCCTTTGCAGACTTGTTCTTCATCTTCACTCACAAACACAATGCGTCATTCTACATGGCTCTCAGAGCGAAGTGGTGCCAATGCGTAGAGTCCTTCGTCAAGGTTGCCCCATTGCACCAATCATTTTTGCATCTTGGTCTGTCAGGGTCTGCAGGCAGTTAGATTCCGTCTTGGGTGAGGGATGGTCTATGGAACATCTTACGCTGTTCTCGGACGATACCTTTTGCTACTGGCGAATCCACTCACTTGAGGATTTGACAAGGGCGGCCAAGCAGCTCCTTCATGTCATTCAGACTCTGGAGGCTTTGGAAATGGGGATCAATTTCTCTAAATCGGGCATTGCTTGTCAGTTACAGGGCAACAAGGTAGCTGTTGCGCATAAAAAGTTCTTCTCCTCTGTCGATGGCTCTTATTTGTTCCGCCTGCGCAGAGAACACAAAGATATTCTCATTCCAGTGCTGGACAACCCTGAGTACTTGGGAGTGATCTTGTGTTATGGCAGTTTCGAGATACAGACGACAAAGCATCGAATCCAGAAAGCATATGTCAACTACAAAGCATTGCACAAGGTCCTTCGGTCGAACAGGCCGCTTGGAGCTGGCCATCGGCTCAGGATCTACAAAGCATGCGTTCTCACTTCTTTGCTCTACGGGATGCTCGGAGTAGGGGTCACTGCAGCTACATTCAAACTCACTTCGTCCAGCATCTGTGTTCAGCTTCGTAAGTTACTTCGAATCCACGAGGAGGGTGTCTCGAACTTGCAGGTGCTTGCGAAAGCGGACATTGACCTGAAGCAGATCTTGGCGACGAGGAGTCGACACATTTGTGATTCCATTCGCACTGATGATGGCCGCTCTCCCTCCCTGAAGAGTTGCGAGCTTGCTAGAGCACAGCTGATTGGCAGGAATCTGGAGATTTTGGGCCAGAGATCCGATTTGCTGCCTCCAAACTTTTCCAGTGATGGCGGCGATGGATCAGGACGCTGACTCCTTCGCTTCCTTTGACTTCTTGGCCACGTATGCTCCGGGAGGGCAGCAAGGTGCCAAGACCGCCAGGGACGCAGATGAGACAGACAGGGACTCCAAGTGGCACAGACCGAATCAAAAAGGTGGCCGAGGAAAGGGACAAGGCACTGGGGGAGAGCGAGGTCAGCCATCTCGCAAGGACTGGCGAAGCATCAAGGAAGACAAGTCCTGGAACAAGGGCTGGGGCACCACCAGTGAAGTCCGTGACCTACGCCAATCCTTGGCCAATGTCACTCGGCTGCTCCTCCGACATGAAGACTCGTTGAATCTCATCAAAGCCGAGATTGGATTCGTTGCCCATTTTCGCACAAATGTGGAAGCCTCTGTTGTGGGTCAGATCTATCTTGCCCAGGTCGGTTGGCGCCGACTCAAGGAGGAAAAGCCTCAAGAGGTTGACCTTCCCATGCGGAACACACTGCTCGAGTGCGTCTTCAGGGAGATGAAGAAGCGGCTTTCGGAGATTCAGGAGAACAAGGACGTGTACAGTGGGGTGGTGAAGGCCAAGTGGCTTAAGGATGACAATGGTCAGTGGTCCTGGTCATACCTCCGTTGGGAGCCTGCAGCCAAAGCCCTTATCCCGGACGAGTCCAAAGAGCCCCTTGCCCATGGCAAAGTTTTGTCCATGCTGGATCTCATCATCAGACACTCCCGAACTTTGGGCACAGTCTCGAGATTCCACCCTATGCGGCCGGTTGTTCAGGAGATGAAGGGAGACAGTGTGGGTTTTCTCTTGCAGCTTCCCCTCCGCGGCCAAGCCACGGACGAGCTCCTGAGTAGCTTGCATGCACTGTGTTCAAGCTCGGCCACGCAGTTGATAGCAGCCCAGCTTAAGACTGATCGTGCGCAGCGGTCACAACTCGCCAACTCCGTGGCGAAGCTTTTGTGATGCCTTCTTGATGGGCGTTGGCGAAGCTCAATGCTAGATGTGGCTTGTGAAATACCTTGTACACCTGCTCTACAGTTGCTCTCAAGCAGCTTGTTACGCCAGTCTTTGCAGCCGAGGCTTCGAGAAGTGGGAACCTATCTTGATCTCAATTGCGAGTTCAGGGTCATGCTGTCCTGGTTGATGCGCAGTTAGGAGCCTTACTTGGAGCCTCACGTGGAGATAGTTTATGCTCTGCTGCTCAAGGTTGGTAGACATGGATCAGGCTGAGTGGTTAGAGTTAGTCCAGCTGGAACTGCCCTCGATCCTAGGGTTAGCTGCTCCTGGGGCGGACGTCCTTGACATATCTGAGCCAACTTTCTGGACTCAAGAGGATACCGAAGAGGAGAGTGACTTCGCGAGTGACACCAGCATGGGGTTGTACTCGCCTTCGCCGTGCCGCTCAGTCCTTGATGGTACTCCGGGCTTCAATCTTCTGCCCCCTTCAGGTTTCGCTCAGCTGCAAGATGAACCTTCCCATGCAGGTGAGCAGTTGGCCAAACTAGCGCTTCAGCAGGGCTGGGTCGGGTACACTGAGATGCTCAGGCTTGCAGAACTTTTACCATCCAGCCTTTGTGATTTTCAGGAGGAGAATGCGTCAACATCTTTTGTTCAATACCGGGGCGTATGTCAGGGGAAACATGGCAGGCCTCATGCTGAACTCCACCAACATGCCATACGTGACCATGCTACTGACCTCAATTCTCCGTAGCTCTGCGCCAGGGTCTTGGTTTTCGTCAGCGACATTGTCCTTGAACATCAGGTCCGGCATCCATACGGATTCTCACAATTATGCGTCCATCGAGAACATCCTGGTTCCTGCTTCGAGCTTTGAGCGGGGGGAGCTATGGCTGCGCCATCCTCAGGGAGATCATGTTTTGCAAGACCTTCCTGGCAGACTCCTCAGGATTTGCCAACCGTGTGTTCACTTCCTCTCGCATACACAGCATGCTACTATGCCATGGTGTGGAAACAGACTCCTAGTTATCGGCTACCACATTCGGAGTCCACATCTGCTGCCGGTAGCCGCCATGGAAAAGCTGTTGGCCTTGGGGTTTGAAGCCTATGCCGGCCACTGGGGGGAAAAAGGATTCCGTCTCGATTGCCACAGGTGTAGTTCGCTGATGGAGTGGTCATTCCGCAAACGCCCTCGCATATCAGCTAAACTGCCAGGTGCTGCTGTGTTCATGTTGCTCACGGGTGAGGTTGACTTCTCTTCTGGCGGAGCGCTCATGTGAAACCTCCGCACGGCGATGTCAGCATCACTTTGCATACGCTGCCCTCAGAACTTCTTCGTCGCTGCAGTTCCAACTAAGGTCATGGAAGAACCGTTGTACAGTTGCGGCCTTCAGTTAATGCACATGCACGCTGAGACACGTTTCGATGCATTGTGGGGACGCTTGGAGTCACGACTCGGTCCCCTTTCTTGTTGTGCGGCTCTTAAGGAGTTGCCCAATAATGGACACAGACCGCGTTAAGCAGCCTTGTGGCTGTTGCGCTGCGAGCGAGAGAGAGATGATGATGGTGATGTGATGATGGTGATGTGATGATGAGGATGATGGGGTTGATGATGTCGAGGATGACCATGATGATGACTACGACGATGATGATGATGATGATGATGATGATGAGGCTGACAGATGCCAGTGTACGCCATTGCTAATAGCGTTTTTTCTCCAATCAGGTTTGTACCCGCCTTAATTTCCGCAAAAACTTATTTTTACGGATGCCTCGAAGAGGAATCCACTTTTTTTTGAGAAATGTCCTCGACAGCAAGTACTTGTCAGAGTTTGCTTTTTCAGTGGATGCTGAGGTGAAGATTTCAGCGCCAGGCCTTGAGGAGGCTGTGGCTGGCACGCAGCTGCTTGCGGCTTGGCCTTGCTTTAATCAAGGGGCATTGGATTTTGGGATCTAACGGGGTAATGCGATTTGTCCTAGGGATCGGCATCCGGCATAGAGAGCTTCTGTATTCTACTGATCCGCATTATGAGGTAGGCTTTTTGTTGTAGTTGCAGTGACAAGGTTGCTTTTACGTAGGAGGTGCTTTTTGAGGGCACGCCAGTATGCGAGATAGGTTTGAGATACCGTGTCTACCTCAACCCCAAATTTGTTGAGTCTTGGTGGTCCTGCCTGGGCTCTTCCTCGTACATCCTAGAAAACCTGGCATCATACAGGTTCTGAAGCACGTGCACGACATGTCTTATTCTATGGTCTGTATATGTATATACCGCGGTACATCTTTACACATGCAGACCTTGCAAGGAATCCCTGACCCTATAAGAACACTCTTCAGATTTGTGGCCCCGATGATGACCTCGAAGAGCTGAAGGATGAAGCCAGCGAAGGTTTCGATGCTCGCCTGGGTCAGCAGTTCTCCGCGGCTTAGTACTCTCCAGGAGTCCCAGAGAGGGATACTTTGCTTTAGAGACTGTCCTCGTGCGACAGGGCCCCATCGCAAGAAATCTATTTGCATCGTTTTGGCTCTTGCCGCGAGGGTTTTGACATTTTTGGTGCTTGCTGCTCCTGGGTTTCCTATTGTGAATCAATTATGAATCATAATTTGTGATCCATGCTTTGTTCAAAAAAAGGTTTCTAGACGCTTTCAGCTTTTCCATTTGCTTTGCAACCCTTGCTGTCTCTCTCCCTCTCGCTGATTCCTTTGCTGCCCTGGCCACTTGATTTTCTGGCTCTTCGGTGCCATTCAGGAGGTCCAACAACGGGGGTCCCCGTTTTATATCGGCAGAGCGCGTAAGAAGCTATGTACATCCAATAGACTATCAGCTTACACTCGGGACACGGAGATTTGCTTTTGGCAATCCCTATGTTCCTTTGCTGCAAGTGTTTCGTGGCAGGTGTGTCTGTTTCATGCATAATCTCGGCAACAGGTAATTGTTGGACAGTTCTAGACGTTTCAATGAATGTAGTTAATGCAGATCATGTGCAGTTCTTGGAGCCTTTGTTGCTTCGTGGCAGATTTCGTGAGGATTAGTGCAGAGACTTTCCTGAGAGCTCACGCCCAACCAAGGAGAGTATCCTAAACGACTTCGCCAAGGAGCCAGCCGGAGTGTACGTCAAGGCCTGCACCAACGTCCCAGGTCCTACTGTAATCCCTCCCATACTTGCCGCTATGAGATGTGAGGGCCACCATGATGTTGCTGATACTTGTCTTCAGAACTGTGATTGTGGAACCGCTTGGAATGGAGTCCAAGCAGTTTTGCCTTGTTCTGACGTGCGACACAGCCCGAGGAGCGCCACAAAGTCCATGCATATGCGAGAGTAATTTGTTTCGCTCATGCTTTCTCCTTGCTTAAGGGGCTCTTACCAACGTTGCTAGCCAGAAGCAGCTGCTCGACATGAGGATGCAAAAGCTCTGCCTGTTACTGGTAAACTGCTAGAGGGTGTTGGAAAAGCCTACGACCACCTGCCATGGGCACGGAAGGGTAGCCACATCTAGTGGCACGAGTGTCAACAACATGGAATCAGAGCCCTCAGCTTTGTTCAGGCTAGCACGTTGGGCTCGTTGGAGGCTTTGCTTTCCTTCCTCCAGGATGGGCCGGTAGCAGCTTAGACTCAGACAGTCCAAGCCACCATAGCAACCAGATCTGGTACGCTTTCACATGAGGGGCTCATGCATTTTCATGTTCTTCTTTGATACAATCTATCATGGGGTTCCGAGATGTGAAGTGTCTTCAGAAAGTGGGTGCAGGATCCTAGTGCATGCCCTAGAGCTATCGGTGTGACACGAATTTGCAAAACCTGCTCTAAAGTTTACCAACCAACAGTCATGGCTTCGAGTGCGCCAGTGCCACTTGCCCCGCTACACCTTTGCGTCTCCGCCCCGTGCATGGCAAGCTTGATAGCTTCAATCGGATTAGCTATGCTTGGCAGGACATGAAGATTCCGGTGTTTGATGTGGGAATCGGAGAGGTTCACAAAAAGGCACGGCCCCTGGAATTTGTCACTTCCCCCTGTAGGGTGTCTCAGCAGCACTTCATGTCTTTGATTCCGAGCTTCTGGTGAGGATGTCAAGAAGGCGATGATCATGAAGGAGAAAAAGCATCCCGAGTATGCGCTCATCCTAGCCTTCGATGTCAAGGTCAATTCTGATGCCCAGAAACAAGCAGACACAGATGGTGTCACCATCTTTACCGCCGACATCATCTACCACCTTCAAGACAAGTTCACCAAGTATATGGAAAAATTCCGCGAGAGCCAAAAGACAGAAACAAGGAAAGTCGCTGTCTTCCCAGTAGTGCTGCAGATTGACAAGCAGCACATTTTCCGCAAGCAGGACCCGATCATCGTGGGGTGTCAGGTTGTGGGCGGCCAGTTGAGAGCAGGCACGCCGCTCTGCGTGCCTGACAAGGACAATTTGGCGATTGGCCACGTGGCAGGCATTGAGATCAACAAGAAGTCAGTGCCTATGGCTCGCCGGGGTGACACCGTTTGTGTCAAAATTGAGCAGACAACAGCCCAGAACCACATCATGTACGGGCGTCATTTCGATCATACCAGCCAGCTCTACTCCAAGATTTCTCGCGAAAGCATTGACACCTTGAAGGAGCACTTCAAGGACGAGATGAAGAAGGAGGATTGGGAGTTGGTTATTGGCATGAAGAAAGTGTTCCAAATCCAGTGAGTCTGGAATGGATGAAGTGCACCACGTACAGCTCACTAGACCGCTCTAGCATAGAGCTGGTCTAGCTTCTGGTGCAGATCTTAGCTGGTGGTGATTCCAGAAGTCAAGAGACTAGACACTCGATTCTCGATTGTGTTCGCGTCTGATTCTGAGTCCTTTCTGACAGCTGTGCCAGTAACCTGGTTGCAAGCGGGCCTGCAATGCGCGCCTCACGAGAGGAGTCACTAGAGCTGTAAATCTTGCAGTGTACAGAACTAGCTGCAGAATGGGTCAGAAAGGTGCGCCAACGTAAAACACATGCTGGAGCGTGCGAGTTCAGCTTGTTAAGTGCTTTATCTTGCAGTCTGTTAGGCTGCAGGATCTCAGGGAGCGGGCGGATCGACCGCATGTGGCTCCAGCAGACCTTGATGTCATGAAACACAGCAGAAGTCAGGCCGCCAGGTCACCTGGGTGCATAGCATTTTTCGAAAGCCTCTCTACCATCCTGTCAGGGCGTATCAGCATAGGATTTGCAAGGTAAGTGCCACCAGTAATGCAGCAGAAGGGCACTTCGGCATTGCACAAAGACGAATGTCATGGCAATGCATTCGCCGACAGCTGCAATGCATGCGGCAAGAAGGCAGCCGTTGAGACAGCTTTTGCTTGAGGTTGTGAAGTCCATCCCTATATCCTCAGCAAACATCGTGGCAAGAGACCAACAGACGAGTCAGGCGTCCGGTCATGGTGCCAGAGATGGGTGGTGTCTTGCCGGTGAACTTAGTCTGGGCGTGTCAATGTCTTGTGGCCTTCTTTCTTGATACTTCCAGGACATGCACCTGATACAGCCGGCTCGGGAGATGACGCGGCAGCAGATGATTGTCTCTGCAGCATGCCTTAAAGTTGTGAGTACCGTGCGTTCCTTGAAGCACGTGAAGCATCGTCTGACATGCAGAGATGTGCGCCATCGGATGCTTAGCAGGGTGGGCTTCACAATGGCCCAGTGTTTCCGGATCTCTTGCCCTTTGAAGGCTGGCGTGGGCTTTTGGGGAGGGCTTTTTCCAGCTCCTGGGCTGCAAGCTGTGCTTTGCTTCAGCAGCTTGGTCTGATGGATGCAGACTTTTTTTTGGGTCTAAAGGTGCCACCCTGCACTATGCCAGCCACAGTCTTCTGCATCACCATGTCGCTGGGCCTGCGTTCCGGCCAGCTCTTTTCGCAAAGTACGGGTACCGTAGAGACAGACACTTAATGTTCAAGTCAGGACGCAGTTTCGACGCTCGACATGCTGACTTTGTGAGGTACTCCGCGGGTGTGCCGAAGGTCCAGCGATTCAGCCTTCCGTCTGCCGGCGTAAAGTTACTTAGGGATTCAAAAAAAGTAGGAACAGAGGTGCCCCCACTGTCCGGATCGTCCAGACACGGCAGCGTCCGACTTTAAGATGAGCAAGCTCTTTAGAATCAAGATCTTTGGAAGCCTCAGTGGGTCTTTCAAGTCTCAGGATGGCCAGCGTAGCGGTGATCATCAACGAGCTTTCCCTGCCAGCAGATCTGGCGATGATGCCATGCTTCATCATGCTCGGCCAGACCGCCACTTCCTCCGGCTTTGGGGCGTGGGAGGGCAACCGCTCTGTGGAGCTTTGTAGCACGCGAAAGTCAACACCTGATCACGTGTCCGTTCCCCAGGCCTACCGAAGCATTACCGGAGAAAGCCTCGCTCCGCCGCTTGGCATGAACCCTTGCCGCTTGCGGCTGCCACCTCAACAAGAGTTCGTGCATCCTTCCCCCTCTCTCTTGACAAGGGGCTTTCATGGATGTAACATGTGAAATAGGTGCAATTAGGCGTCCTGCTGGAGGAGGGAGTTGATGTTTGGCAGGTGCAGCGAGGTCCTCAAGGACCTCCAGGCCTGGCGGAGCAATGAAATGTCAAGCTACACCTCCCAACTCCCCAAATGCCGGAATCTTTATTTCGGAACCTCCCCTCAAGCGAGTGATATTGTGGGAGTAACTGGAGGTCCAGCTGAGGTATTACAATTTACTTCCAGCGTCTAAGTCTGCAAGTTACACCGCAAGCACCTTGTCCGCTACTGGCTTTGTCTGCATGTTTGCTGACATTGGCCTTGTGACAATTCTCAGCACTGAAGCAGCAGTCTTGTGGTCTGTCTTCCTTGGAAGACACGTTGAAGGAGAAGCCGTTGGAGACGCTCCGGCACTTTAGTACGTCCTTTGGGCTCCGCGGCCAAGAATGATTTAGTTCTTGCTGGCGGGCAAGATGTCGGAACTTTGAGAGGGTCGTGGAAGAACAGAACGAAAGCACATAGTGAGATGTGTAAGACTCCGAATAAGTGTGGCCAGTAGTGGTGACATTATTCCACAAGCAAGTTGAGGTGTTGGCTTATTGGTTAAGTGGATTTCTGAGCCTTCCCTTTAGAGCAAGAGGTGGATCTGCTGATCATGGCAACTAGATTTGGAAAGAAACTTTGATTACATCCGTTTTGGTGGAACATACCCACTGCCCTGGCTCTTGATCTATATGTGTCAGTCTCGTCTGTAATAGGCCTTGAAGCAGGAGGAGGAGGACAAGAAGGAGAAGAAGGAGCAGGAGCAGCGGAGAAGCAGATTGTTGTGAAATTTACTGTTCACCGCCATAGCAACTCCCCAAAACACAGACGACAGGACATGATGCCTCCCATGCCTGATACCCTCGCCTTCCTAACAACCTTCCTGCAGACCTGATGCTAGACGTCCCCTTGATCCACTTGATGAGGCTCGGCATTGCTGTTTGGGTGTTGACGACCCCGCTGGTTTTAGGACTGCTGCTCCTTGCAACGTTCCTACTTACGAGCAACTTGTAACTGGGTTGTCAGCCCACACCTGAAAAGTGTTGTTTAGTCGCTGTTGCTTTTTTTTTTGTTCCGTATGGATGGCAGACGACGACAGAAGAGTAGACCTGCCCGCTTTGCAGGAAAAATCCGTGTGTTTGGCGCTCTTTCCCGGCTGTACTGACTGCAGCCAGACTGCTTGTTTCGCCTTCGCAATGGTTTACCTACCATCTGGAATTTGCTCAAGCAGCCTGAACAGTCAAACAATGTTCAGTCCAAGGGTTTGAAAGCGTGAGCCATGCGAACTTCAAGATTGATAGATATAGTTTTCGTTGCATCAACCTATTGAATTCCCTGAACGGCGACAATGGGATATCCATGCGGAAGTTTCAGGCTTTCTCTGCTGAGTTTGAGAGATGACATTCGTTTTTAGCTGGAGTGGGGTCCAGGACTTCTGTTGTGGTGTGCCTAGCATTCACCAAAAAAAAGCTCACCTGCGAAGACTCTCATCCTCAAGGTGGCTCGTGGAACCTAAAGTCACAAGAAACAGTGCACTCCCTTTCAGAGAAGTGATGTGAACAAAGGGGCTGCTGGTACATGAGAGACAAACTCCATATCCTGTTCCTGGAGCAGCAGTATAAGTGTTGATTTCCACGATGCAAGGTAAGACTGTTGTCGTGCTCGTCAGAAATGCAAGCGAGCGCGGATTCAGCTGCTTATCCTTCGGGATGGCCTAAACCAGCTTGTACTCAGTGGTGGCTGCATTCCATAGCCTCATGCGCACTGTACAAACTGTCCGCCGTGGATCGGCCGCTGTGTCTATGGGCGAGACCTCTCTAAAAACCCCCTAAGATGAGCTGATCCAAGCCCTCTGGTATGCATGGCGTTGTGGTCCTGCATGCCTGGCTGTTGTCGTTTTTAAAGCTGATGGCTTGCAAAGCATCGCGAGAGCTTGAGTAGAGCTTGGCTTTGCTCAGGGCATGAAAGCGTGAGAAGCAGTACGAAGTCTTTGAGCAAAACCCTGCTACCCTTACGATCACTTGGCATCATGCATGTGGATCCCAAACGGATTCCTGCGCCTCAGCACACAAAAACTCCATTAACGTTTCTGGGTTGGCATGGGCATCTGGAGCTTTTTTCCATGTTTGCTCGGTAAGAGAGTGTAGGTGTCATGTGTCATGTTTCGTTACCAGATGCAAGCATTACTTGACACACTCATTCTGAAAATCAGCACGGCAGAGAAGCATGAGCAAAGTTGGCTCCAGTTCTCATGCCACCCAGGCTGCTTGGGCACCTTCGTTCCAAAAAAGGATTTTGAGTGCCCTTCATGTGCAGCGTGGTCAGGGGTAGTCAGCCCTCTCCGCTGCAGATCCTGCTGGACAATCTTCAGCAAACTTCCGGGATGCAGTGCAAGCTTTGTGCAACCTGTGCTTGTGATCCCCAGCCACCAGATGGTAGGAAGTGCCATGCAGGCTAGCTTAAGTGTATCTGCTTGTAGACAGAGCTCGCGTCAAAAACCCCACCCCAAGCGCGGTCTCCAAGGCTTGAGTCGTGATAACACCTATGACAGCTCTAGCTGAGTGCAGATGCTGCCGCAAACCCACATGATGTGGATGGGCACATGAGCCTCCAGCATGCAACTCGTCTGAGCTGCGCCTTTGTGCTGCTTCAAAAGTAGTAATGGGATGTGAGGGCAGTGCGAATTCGGCGAAGTCTTTTGCTTGCAGGCCAACTATGGCAGTGGACACCTGGGGCGCGCACGGCAGAAGACAAGCGTCGCGCGCGCCCGGCGACCTACGCAGAGAACACGGCTACGGGCGCCTGTAGACGCTGTGGAGGCAACTGGCGCTGGTTTCTACAGGGTCTTTTGTAGATGCAACCCTCATTGCCAACAAGAGCCTGTTGAGGTCGACGATGGCTTTTTCAACACTGGCCTGCATTTGCAGGAGGTAAGTCCCCTTGCAGTTCGAGCCTGGCTGGCCTTTCAAGTGCTTTCACTCATCTTGCAGTGGCAGTTCTGGCAGGAGGTAAGCACGAATCTTAGTTTGTTTGACGAAGCCTTGGCCGTGCACTGCTCGCCTGGTGCTTCCAAACACGGTGTCTGCATCGGTCCCATTTGGAACGTGTCCGCATGGCACGAGTTTGTCCTGCACGGCAAGCCCTCAAGGGTGTGGCACACAGACTTGGTTCCTACAGCGCGCATGAGACTGCATAGTCATTCCGTCGACTCCATCTCAGCCATCGATGCGGAAATTACCGAGCTAGAGCAGGAGACAGCCTCACGCATCAAGCAACTGCGCGAGCGACGGGCTGAGCTGCAGGTTCTACAGGGCTTGATGCCGGCGGGTCTCAATCAGTCGGTAACTGGCAGAGCCTTCAATTCCACGTATGTCTTTGAATTTGAGACTCGCTCCTCTCCTCCGGTATTTCTGCTTGCGTTGAATCCCATTACACGGTCGCACCGCGTGGGGGAAGCGCCGCCCACTGTCAATCCAGGGAGCGATCTGGAGAGCAGTGACGTGTGGTCATGGTCATTGCAAGTCCGAAGACTAGAAGCTTGCTGCAAAAAGTGCTCTAGGTGCTAGCTGCTCCCCCTTTGTCTTTGTGCCGCTCCAGCCGAGGAGCCCGTGCAGGCAACTGCAGACTACCACCGCTTTGGTGCTGGTGAGAAGGTGCTCACCATCGAGGACCAGTCCTCCGAAGCCACCACATCTATGCGGCAGCGTGGGTATGTTCGCTGGGAGGCCTGGTTGTCAGATATCTCCCCTGGCTCAGTCCCTTTCTGAAGTTCAACCTGTTTTGACCATGCAGGCGATGGTGCAGAACATGGACTTGACTGCCAAGCAGACCCGCTTTCTGGTGTTTGTTGAAGACTTTCAAGCACAACATTTGGATGCGATATATGCCAACTCCCAATGCTCTTTGACAAAAGCATGGAAGGCCTTCAACAAGCAGCACCAAGGGCATCACCACCGGGCATTGGTATTGTGTAGAACAATGCTGGGATATCTTCTGCCGCTTGGCATGCTTGCCACACTTGCTGCTTGATCGCACATGGAATAGTTTTGATGTTGACGGTTTCGCCTGACTAGAGCTTCAGCTGCGAACTGACCTGTGCTGAGCCACAGGCAGTTTACTCACGTGCTTGGCCAGCTCGGCAAGATCCCGAACTTGATTTGGAGCTCAGCGGTAAGGCAGCCTGAATCCCAGTGCCTGAAGCGTGACACCAGTTTAGAAAGCTTCCGTCTAATGGGCTGTCAAGTTGGGCTACGCGTTTCATTGTTTCTTTTGCCCTAAGGCGCCAGAAGCAAGCACCTGCAACTGCTGCAACGGGTATGAGTTTCAGGCAGTGATTTTTGTCAAGCTAATCATCATGGACATCCCGCAGCAAGTGCTTTGGCCGCAGCGTAAACATGTCTCAATTGCATTATATTATATTGCATTTACTGCATGAATCGCCCCGCCCTTCCTCAGCGGTGAAACAGTGTTTCAATCTAACAGGAAGGGGAGTGGGGTCGGAACATGTCGCGCATTGAACAACACTGCAGAGTCTCAGTACATCCGCACTTCATGATGCGGTTCTTGCTGCTGCTTCTTACTTTTGTTGAGGTTTGCATCGTCTTGTATTTGCTCGGCTGGTACGTCGCTTGGGCTTGTCTTGTTGGACCTGTGCTACCAATTTTTCAAGTGCAAGCTTGCAGTACAGATCACATGGAATATCCGCACATTCTATTGTCGTTGTGTGCTGGGTGTGGGTGCATTGTTTGTGCACCCAGCGCGCTTCAACAGCCCAAAGCAGCCATGTAGCCCACATGTAGGAGATGGAAGGGCTTCGTTGCCAACTTTGCCTCTTCCATCCGCAGCACTGCGAACCGGAGCATCCTTTCCGATTGGCCAACTCTGTCACCTGTCGGCAGCGTACATTGCGCCATTGACCTGCGAGTACCATCCCGCTTTGGTCGGCCGACTTTCAGGAAACCCTAAAACCTAAACCCTAAACCCTAAACCACGTTTCCATTTCATTCTCCATGTGAATTTCCTTTTGATTCTCCATTATTGAGGGATAAGAAAGCCCCAATATAACCCTACTGGAGAGGTCGTCACGTTTCGTTGACTCAGGCTGCCTTCTTCTGCACCTTGCTCTCCTCCGCTACTTGGCTGCCCGGTACCCGAGACTTCAGGTAGAATCAAGTCGCTTCTGGCAAAGTCATGCCAGGATTTTGGATTAGCTTTGGCTACTGGCACCCTGCGTCCAGCTTCGTTTGGGTAGTCCTCTCGAGATTTACAGCCTGAAAGCTGCAACCAACACGTCTGGTAGACTTCAATGGTTTCCGGTTGCAAGCCTCCCTTCCTAGAGTTGAAAGGATGAGTAGGAGGAGGTGCAGAGGAAGAAGAAGCAGGGGTGAGGATGGTGGCATCTGCAACACCGATTACAACTGCTGCTGCCGCCGCTGCTGCTGCCGCTACTAGTAGTTGGTTCTGAGGACTCGCAGGATGCAGGCACCTTTTACTTGCTACTATGAGGGTTGGCATCGTTAAGGTTCAGACCTATTTGCAGAAAACTGTTGGAACATTTGAGTTATGGCACCATACGGAGTAACTTCAACGTTTGCCAGTTCTCTACAGAAAGCTGAAGTAGATGCAAGTAGTCCCAAAGTTTGCTGCTGCCCAGTTTAACTCAAGCAAAGCAAATGGTACTAGGGTGTGGCTGACATGGTGTGTGGACTCCAGATGGTGTCCCCTGTGCGCCACCGCACGCGACACGCTTGGAGCTGCCAGCGGCTTATTGCAATCTTCTTACACCACGCAAAATGAGGGTTTCTCAAAATTAGAGGTACCATTTTGGGGGGTCCCAGAATGGGAAACTACCAAATGCAGGTATACAAAAAAGGCAGTCCCAGAGGATTGGCATGTCACAGGTCCCATACGTCTCGGGCAGACTACTGTGGGTTGGGATTTATGGGCCCTGGGGTGCAACAACCCAGATGCCTGCTCTTCATCTACGACAAAGCTTTAGCAACGGAGTTTCTGTTTGCGTGTCCCGGAGTTAGCGCTAAGATAGGGCACCACCAGGTGGTCAACCAGATGATCATTGGACCGGGCAAGAGAGCGAAGACAGATTCTGAACCTGGCGAGTGGCTTTTGAGGCCGCTTGGTTGCATCTTGCTTGTTGTTGTGTTCTGTCTTTAGTTGTACCAGATGAGGACGCAAGGGATGTGTGCGCATACTAGCACGCCAGGAGACTGCAAAGGATCTCATCATGTCACGTGCAGTCGGAGCACTCTTAAGTAACACAGTGTGACACGACAGACGGGATGGCAAGCCTTTTGCAAGAAACGAGAGGCTCTACCATGCATGTGTTACTCTTCTTGTCTCCGAGTCTCCGAGTAAGTATATAACTAGGGATACTAAGCATGCGGCCCAGAACATACAATAAGACAACACAGAGAGTGTCTGCTCCAGTCATATTGCCGGGCTGAGGACGGGCATTGTCTGCGCAGCCTGACTTGAAATCTGGGAGGGCAGGTTCCAGGATTCATGAGGGTTGTAATGCCGTTTTGGGATTTGGATTTTGCTATTACACGGGGGTTAATGACTGCCAACATTAAAGCACGCGCATCCAGCAGGGCGATATCTGGGTTCCTTCTGCTCAGGTATCCATTTTGCCGTTCACCACTGGCGTTTACTGGGCCACGAGTGCCCTTCTCTGGACCCCTGTGCTCGCGCGGATACTCTTCTTCTTGCCCTGCGTGATAGGCAGGACCGGAGCTATCAGCGAGTTTACTGCAGACTTGCAATGGAGCACATGCGGTATAATTCTGTGGCTTGTGAGATTGTTTCAATCTTCCTTAGATGTTCTCTGCTGGTAGCTTGGAGGCTGGTTCTGTATCATTGTGTCTCAGATGCATGAAGTGGCCAGTGGCCTCGCGCTTGGTAGGACGGGCGAGGACACCGTTCCTTGTAGCCAAGGCAAGCATACTGTCTTGCCTCGTGGCCTGCTGTTCCGAAATGCTGCGGGCCAAGTTTTGCTCGGCATGACGCCGCACGTGTTTAAAGCTTTGAATGGTGTTGCGGATTCGGCTGAAATCCCGACAGCCGCTTAAATGGGTTGTGGGCCGAGGTGACGCGAATCTCGGAGATGAGGTGACGGGACAAAGTTGCCCGGTTTTCCAAGGATGTTGCATGGATGTGCCGCAGGATGTTGGACTAAGCTGGCAAAAGGTCGGCTCAGCTTGTTTGCAGAAACTTCGCGGTAAAAAGACACCTGTGCAGGTTGTATTTTGCATGTGCTCTGTATGAAACCCCTGCTCTCACGGGCTCAGCTTTTTGGCCCAACGCTGCAAAGCAGCAGAGCTGAAAATCTTGACCAAGCAGATTTGATTACATGTGATCGGGCGACGCGACATGAGTGCAGCCCTCAATTGCTTGTCAGCCCCCTGCTCCAGATGCCAACTCGTAGTCGTAGAAGATCAGGCTTCGGAGTGAGACTTTAAACAGACACAGAGGAAGGTCTTGATGAGTCAGATTGGAAACAGCAAGGGGAGGAGGATTTGCATAGCGACGTGGTGGTTCAAGCGTTGTCAGGGAATTGGCAAGAACAGAAAGGAAGTGGCACGTATTCAGATTTACTGTGCAGCACTATAGAAGCATCCAACATGCCTCTGAGGAAGTTTCTGGCCCTCGCAGCAAGACAACCTCACTGCAAAATATCTTCGCAAATAAGTGAAACACTCTGCCTAAATCCCAAACACTGTGGAGTATCTTGCTGTGCTTAGGCGATTCGTTCATCCCTGACCCCAACTTCCAGGGCGAGTCTGCCTTGGGGAACGTCAGTGTGCAGGAGCTGCTGCCTTCAGCTTATCATGTTCTTGCCCAGGTATTGCTCCCAAATCCACCTACAACCTACCTTATGGTGTGGCACAGCCGCACGCAATTTTGTGTGGTATCTACAGTGCGGTTCGCATGATTCAGACCTTGAAAAATGTGGGTTGTGGCGGGAAACGTATCATGACTCAGAACAGCACAGTCCATGATACCTTCCCACAGCTGTAAAGTGCGGCTGAAACTCCATGACCAGGTCCCCAAAGAGCCCAAGGGTGAAATTCAGCTATTTGTAATTGCTGATGCTTGAAGAGACCACAGGCTCATGGGGTGGGTCTTGGTGGGTCAGGTCCTTGCTGAACCGCTGATGTCGCTTGTTGTTCTTCGGCATGTTCTCGCATGCCGCAGGACTGGCGGAAGCCTTTCAAGTGGGTTCGGGCCAAGGAGCTACACAAGACCCTGAGCTGCATGGAAGATTAGAAGGAAAGTGCGGAAACAATTCAGCAAGAAATGCAAAATCGTTGCACTAAACATCCTTCCCGCTGCCAACTGTCCAACTTTCAAGTGTGTTGACGAAGCGATGTCCGAAGGGATGCCAAGCTCTTCTCCGTCATCCAGGCACACCAGATTTTTGTGAATGTCAGGATGTCTGAAGTCGGAAACGGGTTGCCTGGTAGGCGGACAACATTGTGCAGGGTGAGCTTGGTGATTGCTGGCTCCTAGCGGCGATGGCTGTACGGTCCTCAGAGCCTAGAAGCAGCCAGCTTGGTGCTCTTTGTACTGTACAATAATTGGCAGGCAGCTTTTTGTTGGAAGGTCTTTGCAGACTTCCCTGGCCACATCATGAACCTGTTTGCAGCCTGGATGCATGTTAGAATCACGAGAATGTCAGTGGCCAGACCGTATGGCCTCAGACCTGTCCCGGTGGTGCTGGCATGAGGACGACGTCAGTCTTAACGACCGCGGTCGAAACTTGGCGCTAATTCCTCTTAAACCAGGTTGGCCCAACGGTTTCTGTGGCCGGCCTGCGCCTCCTGATGCCGCATGCTAAGGACATGTCGTGAAGTTATGGGACATCAAAGGTAGAGGCGAGTGGCAGGATGGAGCTGTGTGCTTGCCTTCATGATGCGCATGAGCGACCTGCTGTGAGTTTGATCTTTTCCCAGCAAAGTTGCATAGGCAGCCTGTGAAATCTTTGCACTGACAAGCCCAGAGATGCTTTGAGCCTGTGACCGTCCGTGACCCCTGAAGCGGGGTGTTTTGGCTCAGTGCTTTTGGCACTTGGCATCAGCAAGGTTATTCCTCAAACAGTTTGCGCCTCATTAAATGTTGCGTCGGCTCTGGAGGCTGCATACCAATGATAGACTCGGTCTCGCATTGCGGCGCAGCCCGCCCCTTCCTTCAACTGCGCGTCATTGCACGTACTGCGCTAAGTAGCTCAGCCCCCTTGTCAAGATAGTTTCCGACCAGCGGACACAAGGGTTACTTCTGGCAGAGGTTTCTGCCTAGTCAGTCATCGCGAAGGACGTGGAGATCGACGACCTGATCCCCTGTGACAAGTATGGCAAACCCTTGTTCGCTCAGCTGCAGGGCGAAAGTGGCTTGGCAGAAAATGCACCGAAATTAATTGGCAGCAGATGATCAACAAGCTTCTCTTCAGTTGCAGCTGGTGATTTTCTTGTCATGCGCCGATGCGCGTCACCATCGGAATTCAGACTTGTTCTCCAGGATGTCTGAAACTCCCAGAAAGCACTCTGAGGTGGCAGCACATGGGAGCGGCCCTCAGACCGTGCCCCAGACAAGCCAGGTCTGCCCATAATCTTGTTGAGGCACTGCTTCTGGAGAAGGCTTTTGCCAAGTTGCATGGCTATCAAGAGCAGACTTTGAGCGTTCTTTCTAGTTGTCACATTCTTGCAACTTCAGATGCAGTTGTTCTGCAAATCCAGGATGGATGTTCGAATCAACGCTGATCAGGTTTGTACTGCCAGCTAGTTACCAGCTCCTTTTTTGGGTGACGGCACGCAGCGCAAGCAACATGCTGCGTGTTCAAGGTTTACGGGAAGCTATGAGAAGCTTGTGGGAGGCAGTACTGGCTGGGCTTGGCAGGCCTGCAGGTTCCAGAAGCTCGGAGTTGCAATCCTGAAGTCTGACTTGTCATCCCCTGCTCTCAAAAGACCAGTGGTGTTGCCCAGTACGGCAAAGCTATGCTGTGCAGGTGCTTACAGGTCAACCGTGGATGGCCCGCTGGACACGTGATAAAGACCAGAAGTGGACACGCGGCATGGCTTGATGAGATTTTTGTTTCCTAGACATCTCTTTGCGGAGCTGCAGAACGCTGCATCCAACACATTCCTTGGAAACTATCGAGCTCAAACCTTGGAAGCGATTTAGTCAGACTGTTTGGCCCAAGGCTGGGAGATGTGCGACATCCAGGAGACGAAGACTAGATGGATTTCATTCGTCGAAACTCTAGCATTTTATGTGTGATGCGAATGAAGTTGCTGAATTACATCATGCTATTCCTTGAAGGGGGGCATCCAATCCTGGATCCGATCAAGTCCACGTCCGGTGCCTGTGCTTCAGCACAAACGAAGGATACCCCCGTCCCCCGTTTCTTTTTTAGGGGAGACGGTGCTGGCTGAAGGGTCAAGCGAGATCAAGCGAGTACTTATCTAGCAGGCACTCTGGCCTGCCCCTAGCAAAACGCCGCGCCGGTTTCCAAGTCGGACACGCAACCCGAGAGCACAAGTGTTGCGGCGCAAGCCCAAGATGCTTGTAGGTCGCTGTGCCAAGCGTGTGTAGCTTTCGAGATGTGGAACAGGTTGTCAGTTTTGAGCTTACAAACATGTTCCTGCCGACACGTGCTGACTACGACAAAAGGAAGTTGCGACTGCTTGCAGCAATGAGGGCAGCATGCTGATTTGACCCCTAGCCCCGCGACAGAAATGTTTCGGCAAAGAAGAAGAGAACCTGAAAGCTGCCGCAAAGTGGCGTGGGGCACCCAGACAAGGAGGGACTTGGCCAGGGATCCAAGGACGGTAGGTTCTGCTGTGAATCTTTCAGCGCATGCCTTGTGGCAAAGCATTCTGAGTGAACGGAAGGTTCTGCACATGCAGCACGGCAGGGGTTTCGCATGATCCTGTCCAAGGTTCAGACGGCATGCGTGGTGGACGTTGGAAAGGACCTGTTGAGACATCCGATGATGATCGAATGTTCCAGGTTGGGCTTTCTGAGTCTGTGCTTTGGCTTTGCTTTGGGGGTATGGCCACCTTTGCGGTTCGACGTTTGATGCACATCGTAGGGTGACCAGAAAGTCGAGATCATAAAGTTTGCAACATACTTGCGAGATGTGGGTTCTTTTCCGGAGAGTGGAAAAACACGCTCTGCTCTGGATACAAGTCGCGTTCCACTATGTATGAGGTTGCATTTTCGGCTGATCGGAGCTGGCATTGCTGCCCTTAGAGGGCCATGGAAGCAAAGCGCAGGCACTGGCTTCCTACACCCAGGCCTGCTTTGCCCGGCACCTTGAAGGTTTGTCTGAGATCCTGCAATTCGAGATGTGGAGGTCCTAGGGGTAGAAGCCCACAATATCTTCTGGAGTGCGGGGGTCTGCTTCAAGCGGCAAATCCGGTGCAAGCGCAGCTGGTTGGAGCTGCCGTCATGGAATTTGAGCTGAGCAGAACACCCAACCTTAACCTTGATGCACTTACTGCGTTTCACAGTTTTGTAGCCAGGCTTGCATGTGTTGCCAAGGCAATCAGCTGCTCCATAGGCCAGGGTGATCGCGCTGAGGCTCGTCTCATGGGTACCATTTGGAAAACATCTTGGGAAGATTGCGTCATTTTGGGGTTCTCCTGGCGCATTGACGCTGCTAGCCAGCTCCTTTTGGCGAAGGAGGAGCGCCCAGACGGCCTCCTTGCCAAGCACGCTTACTCTGTGCTCCAGGCATGGCTGCACACTTTATGTGCCAGATCAGAAGATTTTTCTTGAAGAGAACGGCAGGTTTCTTAAGATGGTCCCATGCTGTGAATGCATGGTGGACAGCAGTTTCACACCTACAGGGAGGAAAGGTGCAGTGCTATCGCTTCTGCGCGCAAGCTGCTAGCACGCAGGGCTTCGCCTTCAAGTGCACTAGGCAGTTCGCACTAGCAGATAGAAAGTCTTCTTGAGAAACCAACATGTGCCTAGACGCACTGCAACACCTGTGCGTCTATCTCCCTGCTTGGAGGTTCGTTTCAGTTCATGTGTATTCAACCGTAGTGTTTGAAGGTGGGTGAATTACAGCTATCCCAAAATGGATGCTACTTCCAAGCGGCCGGGTTTAGACCGTAGCCAGAAGCAGGTGATCTGCGCTCGTGGCCAGCGCCTTGTCCAGGTGTGACTCCCAGACCCCGCAGCTGAGGAATCATGGAAGGGATCATGTACGCATATAGGAGTATATAGGGATTATACGGGGATGTGAGGATTCGAGGCAGGTAGGCATGATGCGACAGCAATTAACTTTAGATCTTGGACTTGCGAGGGCAACTGTAAGACCGGTGCTCAGTGGGGAATACGGGAATGGATCCTTATCGTAGTCGCTATATGAGCATCAACAGTCCCATAGCCATCTTACAGAATTGCTACGAAGCAGGACGGAGGACACGGCATGGCTGTAACTTGAAGGTACTGAACCTGAAGAAACCATCGCTTTGATTGTGTGAGGGTCGAGGACTACATGTGGTGTTTCATGCATGTTACAAGTATAGAATAATTCTAAGAACTGGAGAAACCCGCCTCGGGTACAAAATGGTATGAATGTTCTACGATCTGTGCACTTCTTCCGCACGTTGCTTAGTTAGATCTTAATTGGAACTCGAATGGTTGTCTGTGCAGAGGGTCGCGCAGAAGCACACTGACCTTGCAGCCTTTAGGAGCTTGCAAGGTGCGGTGCAGAGTGCAGATGACGTAAGAGCTGCGCCAAACAGCTCGCCAGAAACTGAACATCCTTGTAAGATACTCATCAAACTGCAGAGGTGCGCAACCCATGGGGCAATGGAGGCGAGTGGAATCGGGCTTGGTCGGACAAAAGCGAGGAGTGGGAGAAACATCCCGAGAAGCCTGGCAGCAGGTGACAACAAAGTCACCAGTGGGTTTGCGTCTACATCTACATTGTAGCTGATCTTCCTATGCCAGCTCTGAGGATCTGTGCGGATCTGAAGGTCGTGGATGCAGATGCCCATAGCTCAGCGCTCTGAATTTGGTTGCAGCAAATGGATCTACAGTCCGCAAGCATTCCGGCTGTCCAGACTATTTTCAGGATGGACGGTTCTGGATGCCTTGGGCAGCTTGATCGCAAATATTCCGAGCTGCCGCTGCGTCAGACACACTCTTCTCATGCCAGCAATTATCCCAAGACCTGCAAATGTTTACAGAACCCACAGCTCTTGCGCCACAGGATGCATTTGCAGAGATCTTTGGTGGGCACATCATGGCTTCTCGCCGTGGAAGTAATTTGCAAAAGCCCGGCTGTGCTGCGTAGTTTGCTTGCTTGTCAGGTTTGCCCTGTTACGCTACCGTGCCCGATGAACTCCCAGATCGTCACTGACAAAGAGAGCGGCGGCAGGAGAGAGTTCGTTGCAGCTTCTACGTTGTCGTCGTTGGGACCCTGGGAATTGTAAAGTGCTGAGCAGACACGACTTGAGCATGAGCAGGGACTGCAGCTGCCATTACAGCATATTACAGCCAATGCCATTGAAAACTGAATGTGCAAGCCTGCACAGTGCACAGGACGCGGTGCCCGCAGTGCAGGCAGAGCCGACCTCAGAAAGTGTTTTGATTTGTAAGCTGCCAAATTTGGTGCTGGAACCAAGATTCGTCCAGTAGACGGCTTTGTGAAGGGGTGCCAAGAGCACATAGCCAGCTGAAGGCCGTACACCAGGAGCTGGGTACTTCTGGCAAGCGAGGAGTCGAAAGCTGGCGATGGTGAGTGGAAGCATCTTGCGGACGGCAAGAATCTGTGTGCCATGCTCGGTACGAGTTGAAGCTGAATGTGCGAATCATCTCTTATCATGTCCAGATAGGGGTGAAGTGGCCATGTTCGCAGTCATCTCCCTGAGCACTTTTTAAGGTTTCCTCTGCCTCCGCGCAACCTGCCGAGCAAGCGAACATCTCCTGAAGGGTCTCTCGGCGCAGGAAGGGCTAGTCCATGCATTGCGCTCTAGATATGTTGCGTATGGTGGTAGCCACGTATTGTAAGGGTGGCTGCCAGGCAATCTAAACCTGGAGGAGGTTTTGGTCGTGCCTGGGCAACTTGCAGCAATCAATATGTGGGAGAATCCTGAGGCCTCAGAGTTGCCGGACTGCATGAGCAACCCAAGCTCACGCTGGCTCCGCCAAAAGGCTGATGACGCGGTCGAAAGCATGCCACGCTGGAGTTGTAGGGAGTGGGATCTAGAACTGCCAATACCAAAGCTCCAGCTTCTTGCTCCAAGCGCTGCTTCTTCCATCGGTTTTGATGTAGAGACTCACAATTTTTGCAGGCCCGCGGAGAATGAAGGCAGCTCAGATGGCATTGGCCACACCGGTGTGCTAAACAATGCTCAAAGCAGATAACAGTTCGCAGCCGTATTCTGTATGAATTAGTTGCATATCGCTGAGGAGTGCGAGCATGGAGCTGCGTGCTATCGTGCGTGCCTCATTCTGGTTCTGTGGGCAAGGGCGGCAGCACGACACGGGGGCTGGTGATTCTTGAAATCACTTGACAGCATTGGACATGGTTCAACTCTGCTCGTACCTAGACGTGTTGGCCATGATGAGCAGACAAAGTGCAGCCCACAGCTGAAGGCCGCAACCCTCAGCACTTCCACGAGCGCTTCCACCCAAGCCTGCGCATGGTCAGCACTAGTTCGCTAGTAGCTGGTATGTTTCTAACTCGTCAAGGCTGGCAGTCCCATGAGAAGGAATTGAAATTTCAGCAAATCTACTTACCATAGCCCTTCCTGGCTTTAGGATGACAAGCAGATAGCCAAACTGGGTTTGGCGGCGTAAACAAGCGTGTGATCCTCCAAGGCTCCCGCCCGCGCCTGCCTGTGCCAGCGGCTGCGGGCGTTCGGCGGCATCGGGCTACAAGACCGCGGGCTGTCAGCACCATATTGGGAATCAACATGTGACATAGACAATAACAACAGCCCTTACCCGCGATGCATGCTTGCCATGGCCATCACAGCTTGTGGATGTGGCTGTGCTAGCCGCTGCTAGCCATGTGCCAGATGACTCAGATGCGCGAGCACAGGACCGCACGGCCGCAGCATGTGCCTGCAGGACCTGCTGCCCAAAATGCACAAGCTCCCCTCCCGATCTCAAGGTATACATTCCATCAAGGCACTGGTCTATGAAATCTGTAGTTGCAGGGTATCATAGTAGCCCGCATGCTGCTTACTGAGCATCAGCCGGAGTGTTCTGAGGTGCCGAGATATAATGGCGTGAGTACAGTGCGGTGAGATTTTCCCTAGCGCTGGTCTGTACTAGGTTGACCATGCTAATCCAAAATCATGTACGGCACCGTGCTTGGAGCAGCAAGCTGTAGCATTCGGCTAGCTTTGTCCTTTGCTTGGACCATCTGCCTAGTTGCCGGCTTTCCTAGATCGTCACTTTCGGTTGCCTGCTGCATGTGCTCAGATGTTGACAGGCACAAGTCCCTGGCCGGGACTTACAAGGCAGTGGACAGGCCCAAGTCATGCAAAGCGTGCGTGGCTTGTTTTTCAGGAACTATGGATGCACTTTGACGGAAAAGTAATCTGAGATGACTTTCAGCAATGAGCCTTTGGACCACTTCCTCCGCTGTCCTGTGCTTTCTCTTCCTCGCCTGTTTTGTCTTGTGGGTGGAGGCCAAAAGGTAAAGAAAAAGGACCACCAGTTTACCGTCAATGTGATGGGTGGAAGCCTCAGGTGTTGGCGGTCAAGCAGGGTTCTTTAGGGAATCACTTTAGCAACGTAGTGCTGCTTGTGATGAAGACCTACTAACACACCCCACGTCTTGGTATCTCCCTGCTCAGGAAAGGATGGATCTGGAAGGCTGCCGGTCTGTGGACGGACATGCCTATTCTATCAAGAACAGTTCCAGGTCGTGTAGCCCCCGTACAAGAATCACATCACACAACGCAAGCATTGGAATAGTGCGATTCCATGTGCATATGGGAACTACATGCTGGCAGGGGCATGTTTGGATGATGGGTGATCAAGAAGAGAAAGTTGGCGGCTCCTCTGGCCTCATTGCTGAGGACCCTGCCGGTTTGGGGATATTACCCCAACAAAGGAAAACGAAATGGAAAAAGAACATGGGAGTTCAATGGAAGCCCGGTTTATGTATGGCCTAGGGGTTCACAGGTTGGTATGTGCTTGGTCATGCTCGAGTTGCTGAGTTTGAAGGATGTCGGCGATGGTATGTCAGCTCGGTCCCCTCATTTGGCAAGTGGGTGGCAGGCAGTCCGTTGTGTGCCTGTTTTGTAGTCATGCTGGGATTCGATTACACTGGGATTGGAAATCCCTATATAAGGATTTCATCAGGCCTTCCAGGGATATATCGAGAGCCATGCAGGAAAACTCTCGGAGCAGTCCTTGTAGACGTCCACACATTTTGAGAAAGCCCCCCGTAGGGCATAGCCATGGGCAGCTCCAAAGTTACATTTAGGAACAACAGTGTATAAGTAATAGTCACAACCCGATGCAGATTCGGCCACAGGAAAGACTTCGGCTCAAGCCTTGTTTGGAAGTATGGGGGAGTGCAAGTGCTGCAATGACCTGGGGTCAAGCCCCAAGTACCAATTATGCTTGACCATCACGGTTGGCATCCTCTTTCTCATCGTGAGCTTGTACGGCATCGCGCTCGTCGTGTTTGTGAATGCCGACTTTTCCGATATGACCATCGAGGAGTACGATGCGACCGCTGGGTTCTACGAGAGCTCGCTGGCCGGCGCCTACTTTGTTGGCTTCTTGCTGTACAATGCAATGCTGTGTTTTCTGCCACCTTTCGGGTGTTTGGCTTGGTTTTAAACCTGCCTATTTTGAAGGGCCTCACGAGGTCAAATCGTGGGGGTGCTGTGGCTGGTTACCTGCATCTCTCGATGTTGCGCGCCTTGCTGCTGCGAGCTGCCCGATGTGGAGTGCCCCTGCTCGCCGTGCAAGCTCTTCCATGTCATGGATTTGTGCTTCTTTGTGGGCTTCATTGTGGCTCTGTGGCCCGTGAACCTTTGGTACCAGTTGAGACAAGTGCCGTGGGAAGATTGGCCAGGTCCTTTTCAGGCAGACTCCTTCCCAATGCTCCTGGGTATCATGGAGGAGGTTCGAGCTGTTTGTTTGTTGTGTGTCTTCAGTTCTTAAACCCAGGGAAGGGAAAGCGGCTGCCCTGTTTTGCATGCAGCCTTCAGCAGTGTGAATCCTTTCAATGGAGAGCTTCCAAGTAGGGCCCGCCTGTGAGTCGGAGGTCTTGGAGCCTTCATATGGGGGTATCCCAAAATTATGCGTACCCTGGGGGTACCCATTCTAGAATTGGGGAGTCTTTTGTGGGATCCCATATTTACGGGAACCACCAAAAAGGGTAAAAACTGTGTAGATAAGGGAAGTGAGCGCGACGTACACGCCGTAGGCCTTCCCAATCGGATGACCACTGCGCAAGAAGAGGGTTGGCCATCCATTTTTCGTTCCTAATGCAAAACTACGATCATGGCACTTCAGGTTCATGGATGTTGTCCTAGTGCTGGGCCTCATCATGCTCCTGGCCGCCATCATTTTGGGATGCGTGAAGTACCGGCAGATGCTCAAGAAGAGTGCTCCATACACCCCCACGATCACTCCTCCACCGTACAACCCCGCAGCGGCTCCTCAGGTGGTCGGTTCGGCCGTGGTTGTGCAGGCCAAAGTGGTGGAAAGCAATGAGGATGTGTAACGGCAGTTTCGCGTCTTTCGCCTCAAGGGCCAAAGACCTGGAGCTACACGTTCTGACCAGCATTCTTAGCACCACGCGCCTTTGCCAAGGGGCAAGGCCTAAACTCCTGTAGTTGCTGTTGAACGGACGGGGTGACGAGACGGGGTCCATCCCAGCTCTTCGACCTGAAGCCATGCGTGACAGCAACGAAAAGCTGACATCCAGCTCACAGAACGCTCCCTTGAAGACCTGCCTGGCCCCAAGTGGTAGTTTCCTTGAATACGGGTCTCCTCGTATACAATTGATGTGGACTCCGGGACCCTCAATTTCGGAAGTAATTCCAGGCTGTGCAGGGCGAACAGGATTCCTCTGCCAGTAAGCGCAGTTTTGTTTGCCTACTGCGCCTGGAGAGGTCGCCGGCGAAGGCGGTTGGACTGCTGCCCCGGAGCTGAAGGTGGCAGGGCACTGTAGAATCTGAGTGGGGTGAAAGAGTGGAGGACTTGTCAATACAAGGGAGTGTCGATTTGAAAGAAGTATGGCTGAGAGGGGCGTATGATTTGCTTGCGCTGTGATGTGAATCCAGATGTGAGTCTCTGCCAATTCAGCCACAGCACGGGCAGGAGCGCAGGGTGCACTCTTGTTTGGTCATTCTGCATATTCTGGCAGTCCAGAAACAATGTTTCTTTCCTGCCCGACCCTTGCAGAGGTGGAGGTAGACGCAAAGCCCGTCTCAAGCGAGCACGTCCCTCCCCTGGACGAAGTGCAACTCATGCGGCCACAATCCATGCAAATGAGCATGCCGAAATGCGGTTGAACTTGTTGCAGAGGATGGTCCTTGTGATGAGCGCGATGCTCGCGAACAGGCTCAGTGCATGACTCCATATTCAGCAAAACTTAGAGCATTACTTGCTTCTGTGATGTTGGAGTTGAGGTTGTCTCAGGCCTTATTCTTGAAGAGAGGTAGGCAAAATCAGAAGACATTGCAACTTGCTTGGGCTCTTTGCCATTATTTAGTATCCTGGTTGCAGTGGGAACTGGCTGGTTGAAGTGGCAGGGACTGCGCGGGCAAGCGGACAAGGTGCTCCAAAAATGGGTACGTGACGCTCTCAGGCTCTGAGGTTCTATGCTGTGCCTTGGTGGTGGTGAGTTCTAGCAAACATGTAACAATGCAGGCAAGATGAGGTCGCAAGTGCAACAGCCAGGGAGAACTAATGACTGTAGTTTGTCTGCGTTCAGCAACTGCAAATGAGGATGATGCCCTTTCACTTGATGCCCAGCCACGACAGCTTCCCCGATCGTGTGCTGAGTGCCAGGGATCGCCTGAGGCTCGTACAAGTACAAGTCTTGCATGAGTATCAACATAATTATTGTCGTTGTCAGCGTCAAAGGCAACAACAGCCATGGCTACGATCACTGCAAATACTAATCACTGCTGCATTGGACATGCTTGGTAGAACGAGTGCTGCTACGTCGAAGTGGAGGTTTGTGCCAAAGAAGCGGTAGCATTGTGTAGAGCGCTCGCTTCATTTTCAGTTGAATTTAACTTCCCACTTAGCCTATACCAATTCTGCAACTCCATGTAGACTACCTTGCGTAGTCTGTCCAGTAAATTATTTGAGCAAGAGCATGTGCTTCTGATTTATTAGTGCCAGCGACCGTCTGACTTTGGACGTGCTCTTGCCTCTCAGACTTTTAAAGACGAGTCAGCGCCTGCTGCATAAGAAAAGAGCAATTCACTCCAGACTGGCTTGACGCGTTCCATGCCGCCTTTGTTTGCTGAATGCTGGCCTCATTCTTGTTTCTGCTGCAGCCTGAGCGCCTAAAGTGCCCACACGAAAGCTCCTGGCCCATCACAGTCAACGCCATGAGCACCCCTGTCACTCTTCACATCTACCATGTGTCCACCAATTCTACGGTGGGCGCTGTGAATGAGTACCTGGAGGCCATTGGAACAGGTGCCTTTCATGCTGGTGTGGAAGTGAATGGCGTGGAGTACAGCTACGGCTATGCTCCCGATCGCACAGGCGTTTTCACATGTGCTCCAAAGGGGTGCAAGGCCCATGTATACAAAGACTCGTTGGACATGGGTGCGACTTCCAAGTCGGCTTCGGAGATTGATGAAATCATTGAAGAGATGAAGGAGCCCAGCATCGAAACTACAAATCTTTTGCATACTGTAGTGTTTTGCCACCCCTGGATCAGTGTTCACGTCTGAGCATTCTTTCACGAGCTCGCGACAGTTCAGCCATTCTTTTCTGAGCTGGGAGTGGACAGCTTCGAGTGCTGTACATCTTTCAGATTTCTTTGGGCTTGCCTTTGAATGACATGCACGCTACAAATCACAAAGGCCATGCTCCCAGGCAGGTTGTTTAGCCCTGGACCCTGCAGGAAGACTGGCCTGGTTTCGAGTATGACCTGCTGCGCCGCAACTGCTGCTTGTTCAGCAAAGCATTGGTGGACAAGCTGGGCGTGGGCCCTGTTCCCACCTGGGCCGCTTGGGATGAGATGGGGAAAGTTTGGGGCAGTTGCCATGTTGGCTGTCGGCGCTTGCTGAACACAAAACTTGCAACCGCGGCATGCCCAATACAACCAACACAACCCTCTCATGAGTCGTCAGACCCCCACCAGTAGGTAACCAACCTGGCTGCTGCGGGGGCAACGCTGCACGATGGCATCCTGAAAGGCCGCGCTGTGAAAGTCTCCTTTTAACTGCTGCTATTGCCAATACAACTGCTAGTATCGTTTTTTGTTTTGCAAAGGTGGCCAATATTGTTACCATTCCCATTAGAATCTGTTACAATGACGATTACAGCTGCAACAGCTGTTACTGTAGTACTGCTACGACAACGGCGACGACTATTATTGCTATTACTATTAATATTACTATTATTATTATTACTATTACTATTACTATTAGGTCACCCCCCCCCCATGATCTACCTCCAGGTCTTTCTTTGATGTAAAAATGCTAGAAAACATTGTAAATACCGATGAATTTGCTGTTTGGTGGATACCATACTTCACCCTTCAAACTACTGGCCATTTTTTATGGTTTATAAGGACTGAAAAATTGATGAATTAATTAGGGAAGCTTCGAAATCTGAGAATCTGGGACCTCCAATTTTTTTATTGTCTGTAATTAAATTTAACAAGAAATTTATATAGCAAAGAGCAGACACACAATTTTCAGAGAAATCCAAACATCCAAAAATCCAAAACTTTTAGGAAAATCTTGGAAATTTTTGGATTTTTGGATTCTTGGATTGTGCAGCAAAATCCAAAAATCAAAAAATACAAAACTTTTTGGAAAATCTTGGGAAGTTTTGGATTTTTGGATTTTTTGGATTTTCTGTAAAAATAATAAAAAAAACAATGGACATATTTGGATTTTCACATCTGGTAGCACAAAACTAGTGTATTTCCTAAGTTTTTTTTTTGGTTTTTCGTACAAATCCAAAAAAATAAACAATGCAAATACCATGGTAAAAAAAACCTTAGGAAATACAATAGTTTTGTACTACCAGATGTGAAAAATCCAAATATTTTATTGTTTTTTTTTCAGTAAAATCCAAAAACACAATGGAAATCCAAACATCCAACAATTTCCAAGATTTTCCTAAACGTTTTGGATTTTTGGATTTTTGGAATTTTCATTTTTTGGATTTTTGTGAAAATTGTGTACCTGGTCTCTGCTTTATAAGTTCTTTACTACATTTAACTAACAACACTGGATTCATGTATTTGGAAGCTTTACCAGAGCGTAAATTCCTTATTCAATTTAATCAAAAACAATATCAAAATCCTACATTCCTAGATTTATGGATTTCGAAGGTTTACTAGATTATAACTACTTATTCATTTTAATTAAAAAAAAGGCTGGAAAAACATGCATTTAGGAATCCTGGTTCTAGCTATTCCATTTAATTAAATTTGATAGGCATATTATAAAGCAGAATGCAGATTTAAAATGCCACAATTTATGCATTTATTATTTGGTTATGAAATTTAAGTGTACATGAATTATAGTATTTGTATCTTAAAGCAACATGCATGTTCGTGCTATATGAAACTTATCTGGGAGCTTTCC